TTGCCTTGTCGCTATCATGCCAAGGCACCGGAGTTGGCCGAAGTTCTTTACGCTGGTTGGATTCGAACCAAGGGTTACCCCAAGGAGATCGTCTGCGACCGCGACACCCGGTTCATGTCCGATTTTTGGTTGGCGCTCATCAAGCGATGGGGATCATCTCTCAAGCCCAATTCAGCTCGCCACCCTCAGACCGATGGCCAGACGGAGAGAGCGGATCAGACTGCACAGGTACTCCTCTACACTCTCATCTGCCCCGACCAGAAGGACTGGGTTGAGCGGCCGCCGGATGTGGAGTTGGCCTACAACTCCTCTATCCACCCGGCTATCGGGATGTCGCCCTTTGAGTTTGAGCACGGCTCGCCGATCACTTCACCGTTGGACACTATTACTCCACGAATGACCGAGAGCGACGACCATCTTCTTTTCTTGCGTCGGATGCAAAAGCTTCTTGTCAAGGCACGCGACTATATGGCCAAGACGCAGCAGCGCATGATCCACCAGGCCAATCGCCAGCGTCTTCCTTGCCCATTGCACGCTGGCGACCTCGTGTGGGTTTCCGCAGCGGAATTAAGCCTTGAACAAGACATCTCTCGCAAGCTCCTCCCGAAATGGATGGGGCCTTGGCCGATCGTAGCGCCCGCCGGGGACGCACCTGAGGGACCTTCCTTCACAATTCAGGTGCCCGGCCACTTGCCCGTCTACCCAGTCTTTCATTGCTCCAAGTTGGCTCTATACACGCCAGCGGAACATGACGATTTTCCCGGGAGACGTTCGCAAGACCCACCTTCTATGGACGGTTTTCAGGAGGTCGGCGACATCATCTCCCAGGCGACGCTACGGCAACAGGCCAACCAAGTATTTGGTGCATTTTGCATACTGCACACACCGAGCTGACCGTTGGTTGACCCGTGCGGAGCTTCAAGCAACAACTCCAGACGTTCTCGCACGCTACGAACGCAAGATGCAAGGCAAGCCGGTTTCTTCGGCTCCACGCCACGCCCGCGTCCAGGTTCCACCTTCAGATCGTCGGCTTCGCCCTCGCCCCGGCTTGACTTCATAAGGAGGGGGGGGTGTTACATGCTGCGCCTGCACACGCGGGCCATTTTCCAGGCCCTGCGTCCTTCAGGCCGAAAGCCTGAATTTCAGGCCAAAAGCCTGAAATCCAGGGCTTACAAGCCCCATGTCGGTTCAGCCCGAAAACCTGAATTCCAGGGCCTACAGTCCCTGTGTCGTTTCAGACTAAAAATGGCAACAACCTTTTTAGCCTGAAACGAAGGGCCATTTTTGGTCGTTCATCAGAACGACCGGCCCTGAAACTCAGGCACCGAACCAACAGGCTATTCTTAGCCTGTTCCCACGCCAGCCTCAAGCAGCTGCTGCAGCGCCAGCCCCTGACACACTCCGGCATTGGCAAGAGCAGCCTCCTCGGCCTGGCTCGCCCTTCAGGCGGTCAGGAGGCAGGCCGAGGTAGTACATAGGAACTTCCCATGCACTTCACGAGGTAGGCAGTAGGCAGTTGTAGTCTTCAGGATTCGGGAGCAGCACTCTGGAGGGAGCGCTGTAGGGAGTAGTAGTAGCGTTAGCCTTTAGTCTTCAGCACTGGGCGCAGTAGGTAGCTGTAGTCTCCAGCGCTGGCGCCATAGCTAGGATAGCACTAGAGAGAGAGAGAGATTGGGCGGAGGCCTTGGGTACTCACCTACAGCGCCGTGCTCCAGCTTCGTCTTCGAGGTACCTGCAGCACAGCGCCAACATCACACGTTAGTATCTGGCCCGTAATAGAGAGAGAGAGAGAGAGAGAGAGAGAGAGAGAGAGAGAGAGAGAGAGAGAGAGAGAGAGAGAGAGAGAGAGAG